TATTGCCCTTAGATAAGGGCAATAGAAAAGATTAAACTTAAAACACAACTTCCGTTTTCTGATGTTTGTGTGTTACTCAATGGAGAGYTAAGACAGTGCTTCTGCTGCTTTTCTTTACGTGATACGTAAGAATTCTACTGTCTGGGCTCTCTTAAGGTTCATTTGAGTATGATGACCATTAAGTCATCTCCATCCCACCTTTACTCAACAAGTTTTCTTTTTATGTTCTTATTTTAAGAAACTTTCTCACTTCAGTAGTTCCTCTTTTGGRAGGGAAGCACACCACTGAGAGACTTTCCAGCTCTTGTTTTTCCTGTGGTGATGTTGAACCAGTGTGTATGGMGGCAAGGGATAACAGCAGTAAGGTTCGAGTAGATTCTCTGCATTGTTTAAAGTTACAAGGTGTGCCCTGGTTGTAGACAAAAAAAAAAAATCTGACCCTCTAGCATCCTGATTAGTGAGACTCAGGCATTGAACTAGAAGTTGCAAGTACCATATTATTTGCCCCAACAAGTTTTATTTTGTGCACCAGCCTTTGTTGAAACCAAAKTATTTCTGTTAGAAGCACAGATTTTGATAGAACTGTCACGACACTGGCTATTCTTTTGGTAGGATCTGCTGTTTCTTTTGTATCCTATACTCAGGAAGTTTTTTAGCCTTTACACTAAATTTCTATATTTCCTTACCTAGGGATATTGCAGTTCCCTGGGTTTTTTTGATTTCTAGAGTTTTAAAGCAACAAATACTTCCTCATCTGTTTCTAGTCAAGAGGCAGTCATTATTTTGTGACCTAGTATGTGTCCTTATCAGGTGTGCCCTTTGTTCCTTGGCTTGGCTTGGCCCCTAAAGAGCATTATCAGATGTGCTTCTCAACACTTGTAAACTTCCCTATTACTTTTTAGCTTAGAGTAAGGCTTATTCTTTGTCTTTCACATTCAACCCCACCCCCAAACCGTACACCTTGCAGTTCTACAAACTCTCTGTAGGGCAGCCCTGAGTGTAGTGGCCACCACTGTCCCAGCCTGTTTGTGCTTTCCAGGCTGTGCCTGTATGTCCTTCCTGGTGGCTGGAGGCAATCAGCCTCTGATGAGCTCCTAATGAGGAGCCAGCATTTTAATCATAGTGGTAGAACATAGGAGCCTAAAAAATGGTATGGGAATCATTACAGCTTTGTAGTGTCCTGGGCATTGTTTGGAGTCTCAGTTTTTCCTTATGAATATACAAACCTGACCAGACCAAATATCTGTTGTATTCCTTACCAAACAGCAAGTACATGGGGAAGGATCTAAATCTAGGGCAAGCATGTCATGCTCCAGAATATTCCCCTCTCCTTCTACAATTTACATTTTTGGGATTTCCTGCTCTGATGGTGGCATGATCTGACAGTAGGATAATAAGGTGACAGCCACAATCACCTGACTCACTGGAATTAACCACTTAAATACAGTTTCTGTCTCTCTGAATCTGCATAACACTACTTTTTCCATAATGCAGTGTAAACATCTCTGGATTTTATATGCAATGAGTTGTCATTACTGCAATAATCCTCCTAACTGAAATGTTACATTTCAGACTTGTATTTTGTCTTGAGTGGTCTCTGACTGAGCATTCCACCTCCCTGTGGAAACTTCCAGATAGGTAAAATCGCATTTAGAATATAAAGTATTTGTTCTGTTGGCAGGTATAGATGGCTTTATTTTTGTACAGAATTAGTTTTCTGTTGGAGAAGATACAGATAACGTTGTCCCCTAGCTTTTGTACTGCCTGTGTTCTTAAAATTTTTCATYAGGCTTAACCTTTCAGGACTGGTTTATGGCTTTACCATGGAAGACCAAGGTATGTGCATAATATTTTGTCTTGTTGAAATATTGGTCCAGGTTTCTGTATTTTAAGTCAAACTGGGCTCTTTACTGAGCTAGAAACCTTTTTCTCCAGCAGTTTTGTGAGTAGCCTGATAAATATTTTCTCTTTGGATTAGATAATTGTTTATGGGTGAGATTCTAATCTGTGGTTGTGTGGTTACCTAGTAACAGGATTAMGATTTTGAAGAGGAGACCTTTCAGTTCCTGTTGTCAGGGTGTTGGGAGGTTGGTGAAGCTGGAAGGTTTTGTACTTTAGCACAAATGGAGGAACCTCAGGTGCTCTCTTATCCCCCAGCATCCTGTTCCCACTGGCTGTCACTTGTCAGTCTGTTTAATTTATTAACAACTCAGTCATAAAAATATTGAAGTGATAAGGGCTGGTTTCCGATAGTAGGAGTTGTGAGCAGGTGCCTGTTTTCCTTTGGCTCCGTTGTTGCCGTGGTTATAGTGACTGCAGGAGGGTGAATTAATTAATCTTTGCTAAAAGATTGAAGCGATGCAACGGGTACTGGTAAAGTACAGACAGGGGAGCTTCTTGTAGGGCRGGTCTTGGGCATGCCTCTGTCCCAGCTGTTGCTCAGCTTTTCAGTTGGGTTTATCCTCCAGGGCACAGAGGGGTTGAACCTCTGTTTCAAGGGCTTGTAGTTGTTCAGACTGGTAATGGGTAAAATCCTGCAGAAGCCAAGCAGTTGATTAAATTGGTAATGATGTGTTTGAATGTACTCTGAAAATTAAATACTTGTTTACAGGGAACACCAAGTCTTGTGTATAGTTTTTTTATTTTAAATTTTCATGCTAGACAAATGTGCTGCTGGGGAAGAGATTATGAAGGAAGCCTGTAGTACAGTTGATAAAATGTGCCCATTTTCCCCCCAGTTGTTGCAATATCCTGATACAGGGCAGAAGATCTTGAAAGCTGTTGCTGTACATGTTCCTCAACCTCCACACTTCTGGACTTCTTATTCCATGTATATCATTGTTATATGAGACAAGTGTGAATAGATTTTTGTTCTCTTCATTAAGAAGCAGATTTTCTATAAAAGCATTGTGTACATCCAGTAGTATGACTGAAGTGCTGTGTAGTTAATCGCAGTGGATAAAGCACAATAATAGAAACTGTTTTAAAGAAAGGCTGCATCTTCTGTAACCTGCGTGTGCGTATCTGAAGGCAGTCAAATATTAGGCTCAAAAACAAGACCTGCATTTTATTGCTGGAGCTTGACAAAGGCACCCAGAACATAGAGGCTGCAGGTCTTAATTCCTGATTGTAATTTTTGTCCACAAAAACTGTCAGRYATCTTAACCTTTGTAGCTCCACTGTTTCAAGAAACTTCAAATATAGTGTGGCTTAATTTGCATTACTTAAAAAATTTACAGCTTTTAAGTAGATCGTTTGTATGAATGGGATGATAGGGTCATCCTTCAGGRAATAAATTGTAGTGCTTGCTTTATTTAATTAGCAAATTGTAGCTATATGATACTGCCCATAACTTAGCTGGCTTAGATTACATAAAACTGTATATTCATGTTAATATTAACTGTGTGAACGTGGAGTGTTTTAGGACAGCACTCAAATTCTTTAATAAAAGCAGTTCACCATTTTGCAGGTGGTGGTTTCTAAAAGTTTTGTCAAATCCTTGGTGGATTTTTTTGTTACTTTGTGATTTGGAGAGCCAAGACCTAATGATAAAAATGGAGCCACTCTAAAATTTTGTCCTGCACATGTGGAGACCTGTTGGAGACTGATAACATGATCCCTGCTAGGGAAAAGATTGAGTCTTCATTGCTGAAGTGGCTTACGCCTGTTTAGGTTGTGATTTTGACATCTCCGGGGAAAAATGATAGTTAAGCTTCATTTTACCATTAGATGTGCTGCCATGAGACAGCAGAACATTAGGAGGTACAAGGATGGATGGAAGGGAAGGATGGTGAGTGAGCAGGATGAACAGGCCACAGAACAGGYATCATGTCAGGGGAGGTGCAGCCAGAGGGTGCCCCTGTGCTCTGGGCAGAGGCACAAGTGTCACTGCAGTGTCCCTTGCCTGGCAGGTAGCTGGGACCCAGCTGCTCCCTCGAGGAGGTGTGGTAGCTGGGGCTTAGTCTCACTTGTGAATGGTCAGGGTCTCTTGTCTGTGGGGTTGCAGGAAGGGAATGGGGACTGAGATGGAGCACTGTGTGGCAGGACAAAGCCTTCAGTCCCTTCATGGCTCATGCCAGGCTCTCAATTACTGTGTGTTTAACACTGCTCTAACGTGTCCTGTTATCACAATGTGGTTAAGTAATGAGAGGGTTTTAASCTTCCTTGAGTAGTTCAATCTTAGCTTCCATTGGGATGTAGAAAAGCTGTATTTGTTATTAGTTGTTTTAACCTCAGGTTTAGAAGTACTCTTCAACAGGCTTAAAATATAAATGCAYATGAATTAATATTTTATATGTTACTTTTGAGTGTAAATGGCTGCTTGGCATGGATGGATATGGTTATTCTGTGTATCCTTAGGATGACTTCTTTGTTACTTCTCCAAGCACCACATTTTTTGAAGGTTCTTACAGTTTTGACTCACTTTCCTAGTAGCAGTACTCATACTTCTCTACATGTATGCAAATCTGGAGTTGATGTTTTTGTTAATTACCACATTGCACTGCGTTCCAGTTGACAAATCAGTGGAGCCTTCTGTAATTCATCAGTTTTATCCTGACTGTGCCAAGAGCCAGATCACATTTGCTCATCTTTTCTCACTGTTCTCTGCCTTCTCCAAAGCACTCTGAAGAACACACACTCCTGTAGGATTGTACTGATAACTCTGGAGAAATGTTCTTGCTGCTACATACTTGTTGTCTATCTGTTGAAAAAGCAAACAAGCAAAAACCCAAAMCAAAGWTTAAAAAAATAAAAAGCCAAAAGCTTAACAATCTTTAAAGAATTTTTGGAATCCTTGTAAATACTAAATGAACATCAGATACTTCCTTTGTATATGTGCTGATTGATTTGTTTGGAGCACTGCAGTRTAAATGTGAGGAGTCACTGGATGGAAGGAGGAGGGAGCCTAATTTTATAAGCTCTCATTAATGTACACTTGTATTGAATGTTTTGAAAGATGCTTCAGGTGTGAGAATAATTACCTGACCTTTTCCTCCTAGAAATGGTTGAATCAATGAAGAAGGTGGCTGGAATGGATGTGGAGTTGACAGTGGAAGAAAGAAACCTGCTTTCTGTTGCATATAAAAAYGTGATTGGAGCCAGAAGAGCTTCCTGGAGAATAATCAGCAGCATTGAACAGAAAGAAGAAAACAAAGGTGGAGAAGACAAATTAAAAATGATTCGGGAATATCGGCAAATGGTAAGATGGAGTTGGTCTTACAGAAAAATACCATTTAGTTATGGTCCAGTTTTGGTCCCCTTGCCCTGGTGTTCCAGATTGCCTCTGGTGTGCTGACCTGGAATAGGCTGACAGCCTTGGAAGGCTGGAGTTTGCTCCTTATCTGGAGAATAAATCTCCTTGGTCAAGGGGAGAGGTTGGCTGTTTCTATGTAAACACTCAGAAGGGCAGCAGGCTCAGGAGATGGAAGGCTTTTCCCTCAGAGCATCAACAGGTCTGCCAGGCATTTGGGCTGTGCTTGGTCTTCCCTGCTTACTGGAGTGTGAGGCTGCCCCCGCTCAGGAGRCCTTACTCTTTCCCCTCCAACCTGACACCCCAAGTGACTTCTTTTTCTGATTAACCCTGTCCAAGGAGGTGTTTGGCTCTTAAGCTTCCACTTCCTATAAAAGTTGCTTTGGGTTATACAGTGACAGTTTGTATAATTCCAGTTCTTTGTCCTACAGAGTTCAAAACATCAACRGTTGAAATGTCACTGGGGAGCTCTTCACTGCTCTTCTTCTTGGCTCCTTGTCTTTTGTCACTCCGTGTTCCTGGGGATGTCATGGTCATCCCAGCTGGGAAACTTGCTTKTGTAGCAACCTTGCTGTTTTCTCTCTCTGGAGAGCGAGGGAAAAATTGATCCACATAACTTCATGCTGACTTAGTGTGTGCAGCTTTACCTAAAATGGAGAACTTGCAGCAAGCTCTGGCTTTCATTGGTAAGGGCTAACGAATCCTCCAGCTCTTAGAACAGTGAGTTGTTGTTCCCCCTTCCCCTGCCCTAAATGATRGTTTAGCACGGAGCAGGCGTGCTCCCATACTGTTTCAGTCCCACACATTTCTGCAGAGACTTCATCTGCATTATTTGAGGACAAGTGCCTCCACATGGTTTGCATCTTCACTTCCACAGAAACACTGGAGTCTATTATATCACCTGGCACTGATTCATATACCAGCAATGGAAATGATGTTGGCTTGGAAATCTTCTCTCAGGAATGGCTCTGGATACTTTCTGTTGACTCACAGGGTTTCTGTTGCTCCATGGAATTGTTAAAGTTGTGAGTTTCTAATTTTATGCTGGCGTGTTGATGGGGTGAGACTCTGCCAGTTACATACAGTCCCAAATAACCTTTTCTTGATGGATGACTACAATCTCCTAACAGAACATGGAAAACAAGACAACAGCTATCCAGTGATTGTTTTTTAAATTTGTTTCACATTGTGTGCTTCCAGGTTCTTTTGCACAGGGTTCTGTGGGTGGTTACCATCTTCTGCCAACTGCCAAAGATCCTTTAATGATGAAAAGACTTTTTTTCCTGGTTTTGAAAGGACTCTTAAAAATAGCCATTATTCTGCATCTCTCTTTGTAAAGGACATATGCTGTTCTGGATGGACTGGGGTGCAAGAAGTACATATTTGGAGTGCTTGAGGTGTCTGAAGAGAAAGAGAGGCCACACAAAGTGCAGTGTCATGCCAACAGTGTGTTCAGCTGTTAAATCCTCAGAGGGAACAGCTTTCACTGCTGCTTTGGGAGGAGAAGTGCATGGAGAACTATCATTGGTTCTGTACGGGAGGAAGTGGCTGTGGCTGCCCAGCTCCAGAGGAAATTTTCTAAGAGGTTTCTGAGTGTTGTTGTAGCTGAAGACCAGATCCTGTTGGTATCTGCTGTGAGAGTGGGAGTGGGTTTGGCAGGATGGCCTGGGAGCAGGAAGGGTCTGAGGAGCAGTGCAAAGATTTGGGTGCTCCTGCTCACTGTCACTGCTGAGCAGTAGCACTCCTGCCCTGTTGGGCTCAGTGCTTCCCTGAAGAGTCAGAATTCTCATCATTAYGATTCCCTTGTCAACAAATACTGACCATTGTGGCATTTTCCAGAGTATGTTTGGTGTGGGGAAAACCTTTCCCAGACTTGAAAGGCTCTGAAGAAGGAAAACCAAAAAATTCCCCCCCAACCCCCGAAACTCAAACCTGTCTGGAGGCCAAGTTTAAAGCACTGGGGAGTTGGAGAGAACCAGCATCTCTAAAGTACCCATCTCTTACCCACCAGCAGGAGCAGCTGTGACCTCACTCAGCTGTAGAGTGCTGCTCCAGTGGAAGTGGAAAGTTTCTGTAGGGGTTTCTGTGAAAGYAATCTGCTGGGTTTGCTGTATGTCAGTATTTACTATCATTGAGCTCATGGCTCTTGTTGGGAGTTTCTTTGAGCCAGTAGCCAGMATGACTTGGGGGAGRAYTYGAGGGGTGGTGGTGTTGGGAGGGCRGGGCYGKGCTGGCTTTGTCTAAAGTGTKMRTTGGGTAATGGTGAGAGATGGAAGACACCAGGCTGTGCCTCTTCCCGAATCACTTCAATTGAATGGAGCAAGCCACATCCATTGCCATGAGGGAAAATGCCACTTACTCACTTCCTTTGGAGACACGCTGCTCTCCTGAGTCCTGTGGCTGTTTGGATATGAATTTCTCATGTGGCTGCATCTCTGATGAGAGGCATTGAGCCTTGTGCTCTTCATCTTTGAGAGGCTGAGGTGGCGTGTGGCTGCACACAGTGCATTTCCCTTCCTTACAGTCAAACCATATCCATTCCCACACCATAGTTCAGCTATTGACCYTCCCCTTCCTGCTCTGGAGATGTGGCCCATGGAATGTGTGGTTCCAGTGCTCTGACTCTAACCTGGGCAGCTGCCAGGCTCTCCTCCATCCCCTCTTCTTAGAAAGAGCTCACTGAGCCTTTCTGTCTGGAACAGATCCTTTCTGTACAAGAGCTTTTAGTTTTGTTATGGGTTTTTTGTTGCTGTTTTATACTTAATCAACTTRATTTGTATTAAATCTTTTTAAAGTAAGTGTGTTCAGGACATTTACATTGCCCCGGACAGCAGCTGATCTCTGATAACTGTGACTGATCCTTTAAGCAAAGCTAAAAAAGGTCTGTCTGAGATGAAACAGAAGTTTGTACATGTGTGGTAATGTAACTAAAGAGGATTAGAAACTGATTTAATTCTTTGCAGTTTTGCTGAAGATCTCTCTGCAAAAGAAGTCATTGAAAARGAGGATCAAGAGGAAAGAAGTTTGCAGGAACTGACTGCTGGCCAAAGGTTTTATAGCTTTTGTAGCCCAAGAATATATGAAGTAGCTTCTTCTCAAGTGACCATATTTCAGCACCTTTTTAAGCATTTGTCACATAATTAAGTGCAGCATCTGATTCTTGCTCTGAATGTCAGAGCATTCTGACATTTGTACATGAAATTTTGCTGTCAGTTAATTTCTTTACAGGAACTTTGGCAAATCTGTTACTTGGTACAAATCAGTATGTGTGTGTGTATGTGCCAGTTTATCATTTATTTTGGAGCTTTAATTTTAACACCTTTTGGGTATAACTGCTGTGGTTACAAACCCTGATAGTTTGGGAGCTATGTGATGATAAAAGTCTTACATGGAAAGGAAAATGCTTAAAGAAAAAAGGRAAGCAAATGCTTGGGTGGGAGGATAGGAAGGGATGGTGGACTAAGTGGGGCTGCTCCTTTGATCCAAGATGTGCAATTCCTGGTTGTTTCTCAAATGCCTTTGCTTGAACTCTATTTTATATAAAAGTAATTTAAGACAGAGTTCTCCTCAGCTGTAGCAGTGAAAGTTACTGTGAAATCRTGAAAAAGCAACAATGGATGGAAGACTGTGTGCATTTAACCAGCCACTCCTACTGGAATGACCTGGGAGGCTCAGTGTGRTTTGGGCAGTGTTGATGTCAGAGGAGGGGTTTTTGCTTTTTTTTGGGTGTGCTCAGTTTCTTTGCTTTCAGGTGTGAAACTCTCTGTGGTAAGCYCTGACCTCACAGACCTTGCTTTATGTTTGGAACTGGAAAAAGTGAAGGTTGATGTGGCAGTTTTCAATTCTGACTATCCAAATCCTGTTTTAAAATAAGGCTTTATATACTGTGTTTTTGGCCACAGATCTCAGKGGCAGTGTTGATGATTTCTGCTTTTTTTGCTGAGTTGCTGCGCTTTGTGTTTTTCACGTGCTTCTGGAGCTTGTTTTCATCTTGTATCTGAATTTTGTTTGTGTGGCACATCTTGATTCTGTTCTGATACTCCATGATTTTTGTCTTAAGGCTCTTTCAGAGCTTTGCCTCCAAGGACTCAATAGAAATTGTTCTGAAGGTGCCATTTCACTCTGGAGTGTAATGAGTTGAGCTGATTTGTTTTAATTACCTTCAGATTGTACTGTTACTGTTGCTACTTTTAAGGCAGCAGTCTTCCAGGATCAAWAATAYAAGGAATTGAGTTGTGCAAGCCTTRCAGTAAGRAATTACATCCTGAGRCAAACTTAATGCAGTGGTCTAGCAAGATGTGTTTYAGGGAATTTACAATTCCACTGTTCAGTTCCACATTTCATCATCCATCAGTCCTGCCTCTTGTGTGTGCCAGCTAAATGTGCAGAGCTGTTTTGCTTAATCCACTTGTAGAGCAGCTGAATTTTATTTATTTTTCTTCTGTCCTACCCCTCTTTGGAATTTCATGATGTTACCTGTTTGATAYTTGGATACTTTTGCAACAGCTTTTAGTCTTGAGTGCTCACCTCACCCCCTCTTCTAATTTTGGGTTGTATTTGTATTTTTTTGTACTAGGTTGAGACTGAACTGAAGTTAATCTGTTGTGACATTCTGGATGTACTGGACAAACACCTCATTCCAGCAGCTAACACTGGCGAGTCCAAGGTTTTCTATTACAAAATGTAAGTGCCTTCTTGAGAGGAAATGCCTGAAATAGAGACAGAAATTAAGTAGCTGTAATGAGAAGTTTAAATAAACTGTTGTGCAGCTYGTAGATGTAAGAAACAGCAATTTTAATTGAGCTGCTGGTGTAGAAATCACATCTCTGCTTGGGTTTTTTTTTTGGTTTTTTGCATGAGCTGAACTCTTAGAAGGAAGTAAGGTATGTCAGCTAGTGATGGTTTAAAATTCCCTCAGCTCTTGAAGCAGTGTTGTCCAGACAGTAATTGAGCAGCAGAGTCCTCAGTGTGTGAAWATCTAAACACAGTTCAATTTAAGGTGTTAATTTAGTGTATGCTGGGGAAATGAGGATTACTGACTTTCTACTGTTCCTGTTTCCAGGAAGGGGGACTACCATAGGTATCTGGCTGAGTTTGCCACAGGAAATGACAGGAAGGAGGCTGCAGAGAACAGCTTGGTGGCTTACAAAGCTGCTAGTGATATTGCAATGACAGAACTCCCACCAACACATCCCATCCGCTTAGGACTTGCGCTCAACTTCTCTGTATTCTACTATGAAATTCTTAATTCTCCTGATCGTGCCTGCAGGTGAGTGGGAACTGGGAAAGTGGGAATGTTGTGTGAATAGCAAAAAAGSCAGAAGTGGTTGCTCCTTAGGCAGCTGCTTTTTCTGGTTGACATCAGTTCACTGGGAAGATTTGCAGCGTCACCATTTTCTCTGGRGTCCAGACCCACGTGTTTGTGTGGATTAATGGTGCATGAGAAGCAGTGTAGTGCTAACCTTGAATTGACCAGYTAATGGCAGTTCAGCAGCTTGCCAGGTTAACTCTGTGCATGCCTTTAAACTGCCACAGGTGGGAGATGGTCTGACTTGTCTTGCACAAGCTGGGAGGGATGGTGGTGCTGATTTCTGTGACCTCTGAGCATGAACAAAGTGGCAGTGATTAAAGAAAATGCCATTTGTCTTCTGTCACTGCAGGTTACACCAGGATTTTAGCAGAATTTAATCAGTTGTACTGCAAGGTGTAGAAATGTTTAATAAAACCAATATTCTTAAGTACAAAGTTTCTTAAGCACACAAAGTAACTGGTGTTAACTTGTGCTTCTGGATTGTGTTCAGCAATATTTGTTAAAACTGTCTTTGTTCTGTCATTGCAGGTTGGCAAAAGCAGCTTTCGATGATGCTATTGCAGAACTGGATACACTGAGTGAAGAAAGCTATAAGGACTCTACACTTATCATGCAGTTGTTACGTGATAACCTGACACTATGGACTTCAGACATGCAGGGTGATGGTAAGTGAATCAATCCTGCTGGAAAAGCTGCATCCCTGACCTCTGCCTGGGAAGCAGCGTGGAGATGGAGAGGGCTTTGGTGTTTTCTTCTGGCTCTCCTAATAATGACCCTTCTGCACTYCTGTCTTACCTTAACACTGGATAAAGTGATAGGGTGATGCTGTATTCTTTTGAGAAGCTTCTCATTTCTCACTTGAAGGAAGGAAATGTGGAATTAGCAACACTTGGTTAATTTTCCCTCCCCATATGGCAACTGTGATTATTGTAAAAGCAATTACTTCATTTATTTCATCTTTTCTTCCTTTCTGCTTGTTGTGTTCTTCTCTGGCTGTGGATTTCTGGTGCAGGAGGAAGCACTGCAAATGCTTCAATTCCCCTTTATTCCAGGTCACTTCATATTCTTATTGGCAGAGCAAAAGCCAAGTGTGTCCCCTGGCAGTACCAGAGGGTGGGACATGGATTGCTCCTGTTCACTAACAGGATAATACCAATTTTGGTACTGGTTTTGGCACATTAAATGGACTTTCCCCACTCTTCCACATACAATGCTTACTATATAATCAGACTTTAGGGTTTCTCTCTTGGAGACACAAGTGAAAAGAGTCTTTACTTTTAACTTGGAGGGGAAAAAAAAGTCCATTTTAGACCATTTTGAGTACCTACAAATGCCCAGAGGTTAGAAACATCACYGCTGAACTTCACATAAATATGAGTGGCTTAAATTTTTTGTAAGCTGTTCCTTGTAGCCACACAGTGTTTCTGGGGGTACTTCATTGGTGGTATGTCTATTTGAAAGCAAATGCAGAGTCTTTTAACCTTTTCCTGACTCCATGTTTGCTGACTCCCTGTTTTTCTATAGGATCATGGGTTTATTTTGAAGTGTTACTCAATAGATYCTCACTCTGCTCTTTGGGCTGTTGAGAGAACTAGGAATATTGTAAACGTGAGGGCTTTTGGCTCCTGGATTAATCCCCATCCCAGTTTTTAAGGCTCCTGCACCTCCCTTATCAAGGATGTAGGATTATGAATCCTGGATGGATCTGTAGACTCTCATCTAAACACTGCAGGTGTTGGATGCCTTCGTTGCCATGGATAGACACTGGAAAAAAAGAAAYGTGTTTCAAATTCCCTCAATTAAGATACACTCTGTACTTTTTTATTGGAGCCAAATACCCTGGTGCTCTGTGGAAGCCATTTTAGTGCAGTAACAAGGCTGGATCAATGTGGGATAATGCTAATATCTTCCCAGAGTTCCTGATTTTCCCATGGCTGATGAGTCTTACAGTTCTCAGGTGCTGTAGAAGTTCCACAAGATTATTTAGATTTTGCGAAAAAAAAAAAATAGAGATTTTAGTTTCTTGCCCTGTAGCATGTAAAATAGACATTTTGGTTCTTGSTAAAGTATTTCAGATTATCCTGGTTATTAGTTATGATGTGGACCAGAGAGATGCAGAATTGGAAATACAGAAGGACTACTTAAAATCATTGTGAAATTTTCCAGATCCAGAAAAAAAATTGTTTATGTAGAACGTTTAGACACAGGTGCAAAGTTAGGTTTCCTTGCACTATGCCAGTACTCGGAGTGCATTTCCAGCTGATGCTGCCAGAACTCCATATTCCCAAAACAGGCAGAGCCTCRGAGCAAMGACATCAGYAGTGGCACAATTAACAGTTTCCAGYGGGTGGGAGAGACTTGCAAAGGGCTTGTTCTTTCACACTGAGCATTTTCCCATTTCCATTTCAACTGTGTAGGGTTTTAGGGATGTAAAGCCAGGCATGACCCAGCTGCTGCACTCCCATCCCGATCCCTGTAGCTTTTCCTATGGCCTAGACGAGTGTTGAGTTGATTTCCACCCTTGTAATGTCATCTCCGTATGATTCCTGTTCTCCCCTTCTTTCCTGCTGTATAGATTCCTAAAGGAAAGTCCAACTGTTCATTTCCTAAAAACTCTACTTTGTAAGTCTCTGGTGGTGGCTCACTGGGTTTTTTTTCAGTGTCAGTTTTCTGTCACTAACAGTGCCTGCCTCTGTCACCTGCTGCTGACCAACGCTTGTGTCCTGCTGCCACTCCAGGCCTGAGCCCTGGGGCACCTGTCCCCCTGCCCRGGGGTGATGTGCTTGGCTAAAATCCCAAGTAACTCACATGTTTGAGAATTGAGCTGAAAACCTGGATGGGTATAAAAATATTCAGGCATGAAAAGTACTGTCACAGTGGCCTGGTAGAGGAGTATTTTATTTGTGTGTTGGTTAGAGCATGCTTAGATCTCCTAATCTGGGTTAGGGACTCTGCCTTCCTTTCTTAAATGATCTGATACACAAATTCTATCTGTAAACTGTATTGCTGTTGGATGTCCTGTATTCCTAGGTCCCCTCTTCCAAAATCTACCTGCTGTTGTACCTGGCAGTAATCCTGAATCTGGACAGCCTCTGAGCAGGCATTCTGGTTATCTGCTGGAAGTCATTAGTTTCATTTGATGGGGTTTTATTGCAAATTAAGTTGTTAATTACTAGTTTGTGTTTATTGCCTTTAAGAGAGTACCATCTCATGTGGTTACAGATAATTGTAAGCACTTTTTCAGCCTCCCTTATCAATTCAGTGAATTGTGCCTGTGTGATGGCACCAGCTGAGGTACCTGGAACTTTTCCAGTTGCAGCAGAATTTGGGGAAAACCCTGCACTAGGTGTTGCATGGGGCAGCTGGAATGTAACCAAACTACAGGAGTCTCACAGACAGACCCTGTTGCACTGCATGGCACAGCCTGGTTGARCAGAGAAATTAATTTCCACAATATGTTTTTCTTTAATTACCTCATGCCCAGGATTTCTTGTCAGGTTGAACTTGGAGTAGGATGTTTTTCATACCTTTGGTAATTCCTGCCATCATTGTTGGTTTATAAAATTGAAGTACTTTGCTGTTGTTGAGACTTGAGTGGATTTGGGCAGACAAARGGAGAGATGAGGGTTTGGAGAAGGTATTTCCTGATCCAAGGATGTCGATCCACAGCTGCTGCGATGGTTTCTGCCTTGGCTGTGGATCCCTGGCTCAGCAGGCCTGGTCACCTGCCTGGTGTCAGTTTTCAGGGCTGGGTGTGTTTGTCCTTGTGTTCTAATGGCCTGGCTGCAGTTGGGTGTGAGCCTGCAGGTGATTCCAAGGTTTAATTCCAAGGCTTAAATCCCATGGGAGCGCTTCACTCTGGAACTGGCAGTGTGGAGTGTGAGAGTGAGCGTGTACTGCATGAAATTATTAATCTTTACATGCTCGTTAAGCCTTTCTGCAGCTCTCAGTTTCAAATGGTAACATTTTCCTTCCTTCTGCCCACTTCCACAGGTGAAGAACAGAATAAAGAAGCGCTGCAGGATGTGGAAGATGAAAACCAGTGAGACACAAAGGCCAACAAGAGAACCCATCTCTGACCACCCTCCCCTTTCCCCACAAAAACCCTCAGTGTCACTCTGAGAACCACCAAATCTGACTTTTACATTGGGTCTCAGAATTTAGGTTCCTGCCCTGTTGGGTTTCTTTATTTTTATTTTTTTTACACAGTTTAAAAGTTCTTAAAGGCAAGAGTGAATTTCTGTGGATTTTACTGGTGCCAGCTTTTAGGTTCTTTAAGACACTAACAGGACTGCGTAAAGGCTCTTTCAGCATTACTGTATTGTCTCTGCCAGCTGTGGTGACATTGCCATCAGACCTGGATGTGACACCTGAAGGCCGTGTAGGGAGAGATTGGTCCTGGCCAGGTAGTGCTCATGTGGTGGCATCTTTCTTTTTTTTATAACTGTTTAAACTGAATTTTATACCAATGTTTCAACTTAATTGGGTGTTTAGCTTGAAGTTGCGAGGTTGCATTTGGGACATTTATTGTAGTGGTTTTACTGTATAAAAACAAAAAGTTTCCAAACTGCTGAAATGTTGCTGAAAATCATGGTGCTGGTAACAGTTCAACAATCCGTGGCTGCTCATTCTTGCCTGTTCTTTACTTTCCCTCCAAGCAGGTTAGCATTGAAGGTGGCATTGATAAGCCTGCATGCGTGTTCAATATTTTTTCTTTTCTCCCTCCCCTCTCCCCATCTCCCTTCGCTCGCTCAACCTCTTTTGTTCAGTATGTGTAACTTGAAGCTAATTTGTACTACTGGATATCTGACTGGAGCCACAGATACAGAATCTGTATTGTTCTTACTGAAACACAGCATGGAATTAACATTAAACTTAAATAAAACAAACCTAAATTAAAAATGCCAAACATCACCATGACTTTCTTTCAGAACATAATTGTTTTGGGAAGAATAATTTGCCTTTGTTGCTTGTAATAGGAACAGTTGGAAGGGCAGAGAGCAGCAGGAGCAGCCTTGTTCTTCAGACAGGAGATAAGGAAGATTTGGTGTGAGCGTGAGTTGTGCTGCTGCCAGCAGCCCTTTAGTCCATTCTTTCCCTCCATCAAGCCCTGGGAGGTGGTTGGTGAATTCCTCTCACCTGCTGGTGGGAGAGACAGTTCTCTTCCTGGGAATAATCTSCTTCTGGTCATGGACAGCAGGAGGATTTACCCTGTGGAGAGAGATGGGGCTGGGGGTCAGGCTCCCCCTAAAACATGCAAGGAAGCGGCACCAAAGGCAAAGGGTGTTGTTTTTTTTGTAAAAATTTATTCAGMGTAGTCTGGCAGAGGTTATACACCAACATGTGCAGCGTGCTCTGCACACACTGCAGCACATCCAGGGGGATGGCCTGCAGCGTATCCCACATTCCAGCCTGGAGCAGGGCTGGACAATGGCATTGTGTCAGGAACCAGAGAGAAGATGGAGCTGAGGGGGTGAGAGAGACAGCAGTGTGGGAAATTCATTCAGGGCTGGCTGTGGCTGCAGCAGGACAGAGGGGAAGGGAAATGAATGAATGAATGTCTAAGGCAAGYGGAGCAGGATGCACAGGCTGGGCTGTGGAGTTGTGCTGTGGGTGCAGCAGGAATTCCCCACAGAGCCGGGCACCCTGCAGCTGTTTGGGGTAAAAAGAAGTGCTGAGGAGGAGATTGTGCTGCAGCCACCACCCAGCCCCTGTGTCCCTGGAGCTGTGGGGCAGCAGCAGYGCCCAGCCCTCCCCTGTAAGGCAGCACTGAGGCACTGAGATAAATACTGTGGCAATCTGACTTCCAGTTATCGCTAGGAACAAGAGGAAAAGCCATTTTTTCCTGAAGGTGCTGCTCTGAGCCTGCGGAGCTGTGGGGGAAGGGGCAGTGAGGACTCCCAGACGGGTAAAGGCAGGAGGAGGGGAAGCTCATGTTCATCCCATGGCCAGCCCAGAGCAGTGGTAACCTCTGCAGTTTGTATTACATTGTGTTTGTGTGGATATGAAAAATTCCTACGGTATAAAAATAGAGAGCAAGAAATGGGACAGCTGACTTCAAAAAAAGATAAAAGTCTCTGGATCCCGATGAGTGGAGAAGTTAAYAGGATGAATTTTTCAGGTTATACCTTGTAACCATAAACTGAAAACAACAAAAATTCCAAATCTAAAACATAACTCCATCTCTCGTAGTGCATCTCATCCTTGGCTATAAAGTATTTACAGGTTTTACTCATTTACACAATATGGCTTCACTATATTTGTAACACAAAGCATTAAAACATCTCCGAGCAAAATTCTTCATAAAACATTCTGAATACAAAGTTTGGCATTTCATCGATTTGGCTGAGAAAGCAGCAGTTACTCATTTTCTGGTTGTGCTTTTTTTTTTTTTTTTTGGTGATGACAAGCACAAATTTTGGTCGTTTCCATCAGGGCTGACACTCTCCCTTCAAAGCGCAGCTGAAGGTCCCAAGCTGTGGTTGCAGGGATGCTGTGCTGGACCCCACGTTCGGTCCAGTGAGGAAGAGAGGAGAAGGCCTTTGTTTGGGACTTTGGGAGTAAGATGAGAGAGCAGGATCTATTTTGTGGTTGTTTTGAAAGTGCAGGTCTTTGGTAATAATAGAGCAAAGCGAGGAAGGGGGGTGGTTTTCTGAGAACAATGTTCAGCCAATTCTGTGGAGGGACAGGTCCTGGAGCAGGGATGCTTTTCATCATCGGGAATTCAACCGAGGAGCAACCTGCAGGAGAAGGACAGGTTTGAAATGTGTTCCAAATGCTGCAAAAGTTTCATTTCTGACCATTTTGAAGCCTGGGAGCTCTTAGCGCTGCTGAAAGGGGAGTCAGCACAGTCTCAATCTGTTCTGGATTTATTTTTTAATAACSTGGAATCTGACAGTGCATAAATCAKCAGTGGGGGTGATCTGACTGCCACATCACAACAAACAAGCTCCAAAGTATTTCAAATTTGTGTCGCTGTGGAGTAAATGAATATTGGGAAGAAATAAAGAGTAAGTGCTGGGCCAGTCCCTTGCTGAACCTGAGTGAGCTTGGCCAAAAGCTCCATGCCCAGTTCCAACTGGGGGAAAGGCTGGGATAGCAGGGCACTGCCATTGGCAGGAACATCCCATGGCACGTGTCCCATGTGTCCGTGGCAGAATCCTGGTTTGGATCCAGGGTAAGTGATCCTCAGCCCACACTCACCACTGTTAGATGCCCGTTCTTGGCTTTGGCTATGAGCAGTTCTGACCCCGAGATGAAGTCGATGATCCCTTCTTTGCCTTGTCCCACTGTGAATTTTATGCTGTGAAGAGCAAAAGGTGAGAACAGCTCTGGTGAGCGTGGGGGGCTCTCAGGAGCTCGGTGTTACACAGAGCTTTGGCTCCATGCTCACTGCATTGGAGGTGGATTGGGTGAGGTATAGGAATATTTCCCTTTAATGCTGATGCAGAGCCAAGGCAGGGCCCTGTTACTCACCTGCCCTGGTTGATGTTGATGTTGTTGATTTTGTTGGCCAGAATGGCTGCTTTTGTCAGTGTCTCGATCACGTGGTCACTCTGCAGGACGACATCTCCCTGGGAGGAGAGTCCAAGCTTTAGGGTCAGGGCTTTAGGGGCAGTGCACCAAAACTGCCCTGCTGTAAGGGACAGGGGACAGGGACGGCACCAGAGGGGGTGAACAAGCACTGCTGAACGCGGCTGTGAGAGCACAGGGAAAGAGCAGTGCACAAAGTCCCATCCCTGTCATCTCGTGTGCTCCCTGTGCCTTTCACCCTTTCTCAGAGGGGGCTGGAGGAGGGAGAGATGAGCCCCAGTACCTTCTGTTTGTTGTCCACGCAGTGCACATGCAGCACAAACAAGTTGTCGCTCAGGCTGCTGACGGAGATGCCTGGGGGAAAGATGGGAGCGTCACCAGCGCTGCCAGGACCTTGGGAGTGCTGCGCAGCTCTGCCAGGAATGCAGCAACTGTTCCCACACAGCACAGCTGCAAGGGGACTGAGGCCACACTCTGCACACTGCAGCAGCTCCGCCGTTTTCCCTCTCTGGCCACATTCCCCCTTCCAAAGAATCTGCTCCCTGTGGGATATTCCAGGGCCAAAAGCTGCAGCAGTGCCCCAGGCAGCTGCTGGGCAGGAATGGTGTAACTCCCCCGGGGTAGGGCCCTGCAATTGGGAAATCACTGAGGGGAGGGTCGAGAGAGATTAACTGAATCTTTTTGGTGGCATTTTATGGAGCTTAATATTAGAAAAACTCAATTACAGGATATTAAAGTGCTTGCCAGAAGCAGCTTTCTGTCCTTGCCCAGAACAAAGATAAATGGGAGGGTGTGGTGGGACATTTAAAGGGTAGCCAAGGGTAGCCTGGGCAGTGCCCAGCCCATCCCTGAGCCGTTCCCACCTGTCAGGTTGGAGTAGTCGATGCGCTGTTTGATCTTGGACTCCTCCACCACGATGGCCGAGCTCTGGGTGAGCAGCAGCTGCCGCGCCCTCGCCTTGTAGCCCTTCCTGTCGTACTTGACCACGGGCACTGCGTACTGAAACACGAGTGAGCAGGGCCAGTCCCACCTGGGGCACTGCCCAGGGCTTGGCAAACTGGGAATGCAGGGAATTCTCTGTGCCAGAGCTCCCTCACTGACCCAGAGCAGCTCTGGGCACGCTGTGGTGGCTGCACTCACTGCCTGGGGCTCACCAAACCCAGGTTTGGTGTCACTCTGGAGGTTCCCCTTTCTTCTGCAGCAGAAACCCATTCAATTCTTAACTGACATCATTAAACTGCCCAAATCTCCTCTTTCCAATCCATCAGCTCTTCCCACACTGTCCTCTAAAGTATTACAAACTCAATACAATGTAAAATTCTTCTTGTGCTTTTTTCAGAAATCTAATCTGCCCCTCTGCTGAGTAACCCTGGGAGCTTGGCAAAAATATTGGGACATCTCTCTCACCTTGAGTGCTTCATTCTCTAACGCCTGGAGGACTTTAGTATTTATTTCTTCTCTACCTGTATTAAAACCAAAGAGGTGGGGGGTTAGAGAGAGATTTTCAGCAAGCAAAAAGAAGATTAATCCCCCTCCCTTCCTCTTGTTAAACTTGGCAACCCCCACTCACCCAATCGAGTGTTGATGAAGAGCCTGGGAACACTCTGAGGATAATTGTCTTTTTTACCCTTGAAGATCTCACTGGCAATTACTTTTTGTTCCAACTGCAAGGACAAAAGAAGCATTCTTGTTTAGTACAAAATTTCTCATTAAAAAGATACGTTTGTGTTAAAGGAGATGTTCTCTTTGTGGTTTTGTTAGCAGTCATCATTTAGTTCTGACCTGAATCATGCCAGTCACAAAATCACACTAAATATTCCATATATCCCTTACGTTTTAAACAGCAAAAAAGGCAGAAAACCTTTCTCCTTTCTCTTCCATAAGTTTGTTGAGAGATTATATTTCCTTTTTGAATTTATTCGGACATGGCACCTGCTGTCTGTATTTTCAGAATGTCCACGTTTAAAGCCTCAGAATTCTCCCACTCCAGTTTCTTTTGAACTCTTCCCCCTTAAGCTGAACTTGGGTCCATCCTATACCCCTTAGGGCCTTTTTCATGTTTCAGATTTATTTTGTCAGGGTAATTAATTGAAGCACTAACAGAAAGTCATCAGTGCTGTGTGACACCTTCTCTGAGTTCACCATTCCTCACCTTATCCTGGCAAACAGCACAATTCCCTAAGGCCTTGGGAGATCCTGTTTGGATGAGGAGTCACCCTAAACCTCCAAGTCCCCCTGAGGTGGCAGAGTTCCAGACACTGTCAGTGACTGAGCTCTGGGATCCTTTGCTCCAAGAACAAAACAGGGAATGGGAAAATGGGAAATGCCACTGCTTTATTTGGGGCTACAGGACAAGGCACCTGAGATGATTGGCAGGTAAAAATGGGGATAAGAGGCTCATTATCAGTGAGTTTGGTTTGCTGGGGGAAAGCAGCTGCTGAGCTGAGTTAATCCCATGGCCTTAATCACAGGCTCAGCCCCAGCCTTTCATTCCAGGTGTTGGTGCACTGCAGAAGGTGAGAGATTGTGCAATGAAAAACCAACCAACATTTCCTATTACGTCTCTTTACTGCCCCTTTTTAAATTTTCAAATACAAAAATTCCCTCCCCCTACCTTTCCATGAGATGAATCAAATCTCAGTGTCATTTTTATTCTTTTTAGCTGCAGTAGAGCAGCTGAAACTGTTGCTGTAACTCCTCTGTTTGGAAAATGACTGGGTTTGTGTCTGTGGGATTCTTACCCTCTACTTTACATGGTACAGGCAGAATAATGCAGCCTCTGATATTTTTAGCTTTCATGGGCAGAATAACGGGGCCTTTCAATAGAGAAATTATGTGGGGGCTTGGCTCCACAGCCTGTTTAAATAGCACCTATTCTAATATGTATAGAATGGGGTCTCTAATGCACATTCCAGTCTGTCAGTGTTTTGTCTGGAACCTAAACCCAAATCAACGATGCTGTTCCTGTGGCAGCCCAGAATGCAGCAATTCACAGCCCTGCAGAGTCCCGGTGCAGGGCATTGTCCCTCTCCTCCAGCTGCTCCTCTCCTGCATTTCCTGCTCTTGGGAATGGCAGGGAAACCCTGCAGAGGTGCCCCGTACCTGCTGCTTCCACTCGGGGCTGATCCTCTTGCAGTAGGTCCAGACCATGTTCTGCATGCAGAGCCTGCGCAGGAGCTGCGACGCCTGCGGGGAATTCCATAGGAGGGGATGGATCAGAACTGGGGACAAACCCACAGGGAAACACCCAACAGGGACAAAAACCCAATAGGGACAAACCCAATAGGGACAAAAACCCAA